CTCAACTAAAGGGAGAGGGGGGTAACAGGAATTGGTGTGACCTGAGTGGAAATACGTACTTTGATCTAATAAAGCTAGCTGGTGACTCAATTGTAGGCAGGAATTAATCCATCACTCGAAAATGTTAAAGTTACCATTCCTTACTGTCTTCTTTTAGTTTTTCTAATTTGATTTTTATATAAACAATTTAACTTAATATTTTTATATGTCAAATTGATAATAATTGAGATTTTTTTTTTCTACATAATTTTTATTAAGTAGTTTTATTTAGATCAAATAATTTTTTCAAAAATATTGGTTAGTATACTGTTTAATTTAATACATTATATAAGATATTTATTAATAAATTATTATTTTAATATAAAATTAAAAACAAATAAATTTAAAAATATAGTAATTTATGGGCTAATTGCTTTCTCTTAAATTAAAAGGGCTTGGAGATTGAAAAGTAATTTTTGGTGTTTAGAATTAAATCATTTCGAATTGCTTTTACGTACTCTTGTCCTTGCGTTTTCTCATGGTTTCATAGTTTTGATCGCTATTCTTAATATCCCTAGAACAACTAGTTCGATTGACCCGTTGATGACTCGATAACATATTTTAATCATGAACTTGAAATTCAAATAATTTCAATTAAGGATTCCACTTCATTTTTGTCTTTGGGAAATTTATCAAAAACCAAAGAGGAAGGGAAAAATTACAAAACAACATGAACCTGCTTTAGTTCTTTTGCTTACTAATTGTCTTCCCTTCAAAGACTCCTGTTCAAGCAGGACTTATCAACTGAAATTTCCGATCAAATTTCTTTTCATTGTAGAAATTATTAGGACCTTTAGAGTTGAGCCGGTCTTTGTTTGGAATCGAAAACTTTATATCCATGAATAAAGAGGATACACCCCAACTGAGGGGTTTAATTTTCTGCTATTGTAATGACTGAATTTTCTCCGTAGAAAGTAACCATGAAATTGCCTACCATATTGATCTTTGCTTATAGTCATTCATGACTTTTTTTTGAGGGGCCAAATACAATGACTGAAAACAATGAAACTTGAATAATTTTTTAAAAAATGATTGATGCATCTTCTAGTTTGATATGTCTTTTGGTATTTGTTCATTTCAATTATTCAAATATAATTAAGTACAATCAATTTCTATATTTTATATGCATGATTATATTTTTAAATTTATTTATTTTTAATTTTAAATAAATAATAATAATTTTTTAATAAACATATTCATGATTATATTTTTAAATTTATCTATCTTTAATTTTAGATAAAAAATAATAATTTTTTAATGAACATATTATATAATGTATTGAACTGAAAAATATACTAATTAGTATCCTAATTTCTACCCTATAATAATGTATGATCCATCTTTTGTTCTCAAGTTATTTTTCTCATGGTTTCTATAAGAAAAATCGATATTGATTCCAAAGAAAGGAAAATTTACTAGACCTTGTGATTACTGTTTTTTAATTTTTGTAGAACAAAGATGTACGTGAATCCCACCATTTTTGGCCTAATTGTTTTCTCTTAAATTAAAAGGACTTGGAGATTGAATGGTATTTTTTTTATTTGGTTTTGGCAAATTAATTATTTCCATAAAGAAAATATCAGTTACAAAGGAAAAGGGAAGCTTCCATAAAGCTAGCTAGTGACTCAATTGTATGCAGGAATCTATCACTCGAAAAGTATTGAAGTTACCACTCCCTCGTCTTTTTTAGTTATTCTAATTTGAGTTTTACATAAATTTTGATCTAAAATTTTTATACAATAATAAATAGATAACAATTAAAATTTTTTAATAAATTTTTTTTATTAAGTAGTTTCATTTAAATCAAATTATTTTTTAAATATCATTAATTTACTATATATTATATAATATAGTAAGGTATTTCTAAGAGACAAGTGTAAATTAAACACCCATCCATCTTTTCCTTTGCGGCCAAGGTGGGACGTTTCCCACTGCCGGTTCACACCACACGTTCTACTTACACGCAATGACTAAACTTTTCCAAGGGACTATTTCGTGGAAATTTCTTTTGATTGCAGTTAGACTTTGCCTAGGGGGACCCCCAAAAGGGAGACCATGTATCCTGGTCTTTGGATACGGTCAGTCATGACTTCCTTTAAGGGACCAAAACCTGTTACGTACCAAGTCACTTCTGCAAACCAACCGCACCCTTATCGTGTGTTTGGGGTTGCTTATATATTAACCTTTGGTTAATTTAAGTTTGGTAACAGAAAATAATTATTATTTTTATCAAATAACCATAGATTAATTGATAAATGAATATAATATACATCAAGCAAATCTATGTGTTTACACCTAAAATAAACCAATAGGGTAAGGCCACGTGTCAAGGTAAAGCCCAATCATCAAGAAAATCACTAGGCTGGATTTGGGCTGGGCTGGCTTACAATTTAATGGCCCAGACGGATTTCCAAGAAGGTTGGATCTTAGGTGGCAGAAGATAAGATTGGATCTGGTAGTTTGAGTTTGATTTAAAATGGGAAATTGAGGATTTTTAGGTAGTTATTTTTAAGGTTGTTGGAGATAAGGTTAAATAAAAATTAGATAACTATTAAATAACTGCCAGACCTGCAATCCCATTACCAGATCATGGAGGAACAGTGCCGAAAATGGAGGAACAGTACCGAAGATCATGGAGAAGATCATGGAGGAGGTTACCAGCATCGAAGGGAACAAAAACAGAGAGAAGAGAATAGTTCAAGGCCTGCCCAACACACACACAGACTGCCCAGAGCATGTTTTTCAGCTTTTAGACTGCATTTTCCAGATTTCAGCAATAGTTTCCAGATTTCCCAGACTTTCCAGATTAGTTCATAACCTTAGCCTAGGTTTGTTCATCTTTGTTCATATTTCCTTCCGCAAATTCCAGTTTAGATTTATTTTTAAGTATTTGGAAGCAACTTAGCCTTCAAAACAGGTCTGTCCTTTTGATCCGGTTAGTTCTTCTTCCTTTTATGGATTTAGTTATGTTATTTGTTCATGTAAATAGGATGAACATTTTCTACCTTTGTTCTTTTGTTTCTGCATAATATCCAGACATGCAGTTTGTTTCATGTTCATTTCCAGATTTAAATTTATAAATTTCCAGACTTTAATCATTTCATAGTTTCTTCTTCAATTTTAGTTGTCATTATGGGTTGCGTAGTTGAAATCATTGTCTTTTATTTTACTTATTCTGTTGTCTGCGAATTTAATCTTTATGGCATGTTATTTTCTGTTAATTACTTTATATTAGTTTAATTGCTTTAGGATATTGCATTTATTTTAGGATTTGTAGCTTTTATTACACTTGTTTGGTTGTGAAGTCCTTGGAGGTTTCCAAGGCAATTAGTAACCCATTTTGCAGAGCTCTACCCTCTGTTTTGCAACATCGTTTGAGGCGCAATTCATTTCACAGACGTTCTTTCCAGCCATCCTATTGGAGGTCGACCGCTGGAAAGAAGAAGGGTCGTCTGGAAAATCCCATTTTCTTGTTTTTAGACAAAGCAAGTGGCACGCCTAACATCCAACTCATGTGGTAAAGGCCGGCTAAGGATTTTTGAGGAAACACTATGATAATAAGCACCATATAGACAAAGAAACATAAAGCCACAAGCGAGTTAATAGAAAATGAGTGTTCAAACTGCATATATATGGAAAATGATTGATATCTTTGGTTTAACATATTTTTTAATATTTATTTGGTTCAGTTTTTAAATTATGATATAATTAAGTACAGTTAATTTAGTTAATTCATGCATCCTGCATGCATGGTTATATCTTTAAATTTATATGTCTTTAACTTTAAATTAAAAAATAATAATTTTTAATAAGTGTACTGTGTAATGTGTTAAATTATAAAGTATACCAATTGATGTTTATCTGCATATTTAGGATTAGGAAATGAGAAAAATTACAGCATTAATTCAACTTCTGTCATTTTGCTGTGCTGCAAATATAGAGCAAATAAGACTACTGCAGTTGTTCAGCCACCAATTTTCTGGCCACCACCAAATATGGTGCAACTAAACGTTCAAATCTGAATTTCGGAAAGAAAAAGAAAAAAGAAAAAAAGAAACCTTCAAAATTTATTTTATTTTTTTTTTATTTGGTCGTTGCAAGTTATTTTTATGAAGAAAAGTATCACCTACAAAGAAAATGGGAAGCATCCCATACATATGGAATTGGTGTGACATGAGTGGAAATACTTTGATCTAATAAAGCTAGTTGGTGACCTAATTGTATGTAGGAATCTACCACTTGAAAAATGTTGAAGTTATTACTCTTTTCCGTCTTTTTCAGTTTATCTAATTTGATTTTTACATATATTTTAATTTAATATTTTTATATGTCAAATAAATGATAAATGAAAAAAAAATTTCTTTCTATGTATAATTTTTATTAAGTAATTTTATCTAAATTAAATAATTTTTTTAATTATCATTGATACTATATAAAAATGTAAAAAGTACTTCTTAAGAAACAAGGCATTGTTGACGACCACTTAAATTTTTTTCAAAATAAATGAAAAAATAAGTGTAAAATATAAAAGAAAAGAAAATCGTCACTCGTTTAAATTATAAAGTGGGACAAATCACCTAAAAATAGGTTTGTACAAAAATCGAGGTTTGAGGATTCGGTTAGGAGTGAGGAAGGGCATACGTGCACCTCACAATTTTTCGTTTAAACACGGTTGCATACTTTAACATTGAGGTTTTAATTCAACTTATTCATTATATTTATGATTGAGTCTTAATAAGCAAACTTGAAAAATGGATAAACCAAATCAAAATATATATTTTTTTAATTTTAGACTAAAATAGACAAAATCAAGAACATGCATGCACAATAAGTACAAATAAAAATTAAATGGACTGATTTGATTAAATTCAAAAACATGGAGAACTATTTGAAAACAGTTGAGACCCATGGACTAAATTGCTTAATCATGAAAGTTTGGGGTCAAATTGAGATAAAATAAAAAATAACTTTGACTTTGACCCAAATTAAAAAAATTAAGGATTGAAATTAATTAGTCAATATAATTAATCTAATTGAATAATTAACTTAACTTTAATTAAAATTAATTAAAATTAATTAATCAAATTTACTAATCATTATTTAAGATAACTAAATAAATTTAATTATTTCAAATCAAACTCAATAAATACGATTAATTTATTTTAATTAAAATTAATTAACTTCATTAATCATGAATTAAACTAACTAACTTAATTAATTAATAATTATATATTTTTTTTACTTTTTAACCTTTTTTAGTTTTTTCTTTTCGGTTTTTTTTTTCATGACAGACATACTGAATCAGGTCGGGTTGACCTGTTCAAAAAAACGAACCCACCAACCAAAGTGGGCAAAAACATATTAAAATCTAGACCAAAATGAAATTTGGACAAAGACAGAAAGGATCTGGATTTTCTGTTCGGTCATCCAACAAAACAAACCAAAGAAAGCAAGTAAACATCAATTCCAATTCAGATCCATGAAATTCAACAAACATGCTTGATTTCATTCGCAGTATCATCATCTAATACAGTTCCAATACAGCAAAAATCTACAGCAATCAGAATCAAAGAAGGCGAAATTTCTGGAAAAAAAGCAGATTAAGATCCGAAGGGAGGGATCCCACCCACGGGATCAAGCTCCCTTCTTCTCCCTCACGGCTTTTCCCAAAAATTCCTCCGTTCAGAAATTACCTAAGGCAAACCCAGAAAATGTTTCCTTTTTTCCTTAAGCCGCTGTTGCACTTTCCCAAATCTGTACTCTCGAACCAACCCTTTAACACCAGTGACGGAGACAAAGCTCACCAAAAAGGAGAACTCCCAAAACCAGACCCGAAATCAACAAAAAACCACCCCCCAGACCTCTGCCTTTTGCTCTATATATAGACCCAAAATGATAAAAATAAAAATAAAATGCCACAAAAAACAGGGGCCTTGCTCTGTCAATCAATGATGCCAATTTTGTCTGGTATTGGCTGTTTATTTTTTCGTATGGCTGTAGTGTGCAGAAGGCAGGGGCATGAGATTGGGGCGCAAAGCAAGGCTGGTGCAGGAAGCAAGGTCGGGCAGCAAGGGCAGGGCTCGGTGCAGCAGAGGGGCGTAGGGGGGGTATGATGGCTCGGGCATGCAGGGCATGATTGCCGGTGATGGCTGGTGCAGAGTGCAGGCGATTCGGGCGCAGAAAGGCAGGGGATTTCGTGCAGCAGAGGGGCGTAGGGGGGTATGATGGCTCGGGCGTGCAGGGCACGATTGCCGGTGATGGCTGGTGCATAGTGCAGGCGATTCGAGCGCAGAAAGAGCAGGAGATATGGTGCAGAAGGCACGGGATTGGGGCCAGGCTCGGTGCAGGGCAGGTGCAAGAGCAAGGCTGGTTCGCGGTAGCAGAGGGGGGTGGCTGATGATGGTTCGGCATGTGGCTGCCGGCTGGTTTGTGGGGAGGGAAGGAAAACGAGAAAATCGGGGTGAGGAGGAAGAAGGTTCCCGATCCATTTTTTATTTCCCTTCTCTTTTTTTTTTTTTTTTGGGTTTTGGGTTAAATGGGTTTTGTGTTTGGTTTTTGGGATTTTGGGCTTGGGTAGTTGGTAGGCTTTTTATGGGGTTGGGCCATTTGAGATGGGTTTGAGAAATGGGCTAGATTTATAGCTTAAAGGATTTCATCCCCCAACTTTTGATTTCTTCAATTGAGTCCTTTCTTTCTCCTTCTCCCATTGCTTTACAAAATTTCCCTTTACTTGCAAACCTAACAACGAAAGTAAAAACCAAACATATTAACAAAAATAAAAATTTTAAATTAAAATTTTTGAATTATGACAGCCATACACATCCATACATACATCTTTTCTTTTACAGCCAAGGTGGGCCGTAGTCATTACCCACTCTTGGTTAACAGTATGAGACATGAGTTGCACGCAATGACAACATTTCCAAGGGGACTATTTAGTGGAAATTTCTTTTGATTTCCCGCAATGACTAAGCCTAACGAATGGATATATGCTCTTTCCAAGGGGACTGGTTAAGGGAGTATTTCTTTTCATTAGTATATACAAACTTAAAAACAAAGCCTAAACCTTTCTACCCTTACAATTTAAACATGAAACAACAATTTTACCCTCATGTTTATCCAATTTCAAAGATATTTTGTTAAAAAAAAATCATAAAATTACCTCTCTCTTTTTTGGTAAATAAATCATAATTTCACTTGTTAGTTGCTATAGTACCATGGATGATTTTGAACAAATAAGTGACATGCTTTATGGCATTAAAGCCCCTTCCCCAAACACATAAAGACACAAAATCCCCGACTTAATATGTTTCTAGTTTTCTTCTAGTTTGGAGAATTATTCTCCGCAAGACAGAATATATGGTGCTGCAATGTTGTAGCAATAGATCCATGGTTTTTAGCTTGTATGCACTTCAAAAAAAATCTACGCCTATACGTTGCATGCATTTTTATTTTATATTCTTTCCCTGGTCCATCTAATAGTTATGCTGGTAAGACTAGATATTTTCCTTTTTGAGCAAAAGTGTATATTTTTTTTTTTTGAACAGCAAATGGATAGTTCATTGATGAACTGAGTACAAGGGATACTCAAACCCTTAATACAAGGGATACTCAAACCCTTAATACAAATACAAAAAACAAGCCCTTCAATGTTAATCCTATCTTTCGAACCTTTCCTACTACATTCTACTTTCCTCTACAATTAATTAAGAGGCAAGAGGTAGGATCAATCAACCAATCCAAAAGAGTGAAATAACACCTAGCTTTCCTTGCTTTCCTTGCTTTGATCCATGCAAATGATCTCAATTGAATAAGCTCAAAAAGTTTGCTTGGGTTTACCTTCGAGTCATGAAAAACCTTTCCATTTTGTGCCATCCATACAGTCCATGTAACTGCATTCCAGATACAGTCCCACCCTTTTGAGATGTGTGGTTTTGTAGTCCATGCCCCAAAATGCTGAAATGTTGTCCAGCAATCTTTGTGTAGTGTGAGAGTTATTCCCCACCAATTTGCACATGCCTACCACAACCACCTAACTATTCTGCAGTTTAAGAACAAATGGATAAAATCTTCATTCTTTTCCTCACACAAAACACACTTCTCTTCTGCCATGTCTTTGATAATTCCTCTTTTGATCAGGTTTAGCTTAGTTGGGATTCTATCTAGCAGTGCTTTCCAGTTAAACGCATCAACTTTACTTGGGATGATGGGATTCCAAACTCTTTTAAATATTTTAGCTTCCTCCGGTTCCCTCCTTTGTGTTGATAACATTTGATAGGCTATCTTTGTTGAGTATTGGCCACCCTTGCTGTGGATCCATTCCCATCTATTTGAGCGGCCTGGGGTGATCTTCACATCTTCGGTCATCCTTTTTAGTTCTCTAGTTGCTTCATCTCCCCACTCGAACAGGTTTCTTCTCCATGTCAAGTTCCATTTCCATGTGCCTTGATCAGCACTACCCATTTCATGACATTCTTTTTCCTTCCTTATTGACAATGAGTACAATTTGGGAAATTTGTTAGCTAGACACTCCTCCCCACACCACACATCCCACCAGAAGCTAACCCCTTTCCCTTCCCCTATCTCCAGCCTAAAGTCCTCCCACAGCCATCTCGCATTCACCCCCTCCTTAGCTTTGAGACTTCGAACATCTCTCCACCATAATGATCTTATGTTTTTGCCATCACGCACCCATTCCAGCCAGTGCCCCTCTTTTACTCCATATTTTCCTACAATAAGACTCTTCCACAAGCCCTCTTCCATATTTGCTAACCGACCCAACCATTTTCCCATCAATGCCACATTAAAAAGGCTTTTTGCACTGGAGATAAACATTGAAAAGGCTCTTTTGTAGCATATGCCGTGTTTGAAAAAGTTAATGCACTTTCTTTATTGCTTGTCTAACATCTTCTATGCTATCAAGGTTGATGGAAGCAATTGGGAACAATAGTTTCCATGGTACAGCATGATGCAGTATGGATTCTTTAAAACAATAATAATAATACGGCCAATTTCTTCTGCTGAGTGCTGAATTTTGCGTTGGTGCGTTCATGTGTTTCAATACAAAAAAATTGTAATACACTTGATGAGAAATATACGAAACAAGGTGGTCTTTGATTAGGATGTTATTTCAACATATTAATACAGAAAAGTAAAGCATGAAATAGACAAACATTTATTTTTTCAAAAAAAAAAAAAAAAAGACAAGGAAACTCAATTAGATCTAATTTAAGGAAGAACCATGGAACTTGTCTAGATGACATAAAACTTCTGAATGAGGTACTCTTTCATTTTTCATCCCCAAATCAGTATTTAGTTTTGCAAGTTCTAGTACAACTTCTGGTTGAGGTTCTCTTCCATTTTCCATCCCCAAATTAGTACTTACAAGTTCCAATAGAGAAATAGTTGGAAAAGGCTTCAAAAGCTGTCTTTGGCAAGTAACAAATTGTTGAGACACAAATTTCATTGTTGGTCTGGACTTGGGTTTTGCACGCAAGCAAGCCAATGCAAGCATAACAACAACAACAATACTTTGGGAAACAGTTTGGCTTCTTGGAGGTGATAGGCGTGTGTCCAATACATCACTTAGCATCACATTTTGCAAAGAACATGGTTTTGATAACAATGATAGCAACTCTCTTGGATGCCTTCCCATCAATACCTCCAATGTTATAACCCCAAAGCTATAAACATCACATTTCTCAGTCACAACGATTGTATAAGCAAGCTCTGCATAGGTAAATCACACATTTCACATATCAATTTAACAATAAATAGTGAAATAAGACAACAAAAGAAGAATGTTGTTATGTTGATAGAAAAAACCTGGGGCAATATAACCAAAGGTGCCAGCAAGTGTGGTATGATTAGATGAATTAGGATCCAAAAGCCTAGCATTTCCAAAGTCAGAAACAAAAGCCTCCAACTTCGAGTTCAACAGAATGTTGTTGCTTGATATGTCTCGATGAAGGATGGGTGGGACACAATCATGGTGAAGGTAACACAAAGCATGTGCTGTGTTTTTTATGACATTCACCCTTTTGATCCAATCCAATTCCATAGCTTCAACATCATCTCTAAGGACACAAAATAAGCTTCCTCTTTCCATGTATTCATAGATCAAAAACATGCATCGTCTGTGCAAACAAAACCCATGAAGCTTGACAATATTCTTATGTCGTACTTCTGTCAACATCTTAGCTTCATTCCTAAAACTCTTGTCAAAAATGGGTACCTCTGATTCCTTTTGGTGAAGTTTCTTTAAAGCAACTACTTTGCCATTTGGCAATTGTGCCCTGTAAACACTACCATAGCCACCAGTACCAATGCAATATCTAATGTCAAAATCTTCTGTTGATGCAATAATGTCTTCATATGCAACCTTCCCATCAAAGTTCCAAATTGAGAATATATCCCCATTTTTTGTTGGACTTAGAACTGGTTCCTTACTTTTAGCTCCATTTATTGTCCGAGAAAGTAACAACAATGCTAGAGATACCAAAACAAGAGAAATGGTGATGGGAAGAATAATTTTAACATGTCTTAACACCTTGTTGCTATTTTTCCTCTGTTGAGTGAAAGGAGAAGGTGAAGTAGTGGGGCTGCTAAGAAGATAACCATATAAACTTGGGTTGCCTATAAAAGAGTTGGATGGAAAATTGGCCAAATTTTGTGGGATTAGGCCTGTGAGATTATTGCAACTGAGATTCAAGCCATCTACATTCAAGTTTCGTAAATCCCCAAGTTGCGAAGGTATTGACCCTTTCAAATTATTTGAATCAAGATACAAATTGGTTAAATTGGTTAAATGACCTAGAGTGGAAGGAATAGGACCAGTGAAACTGTTAACACTAAGATCTAAAATATGTAGATTCTTCATATTTCCTATTACAAAAGGGAGGTCTCCACCCATGGAATTGTGGCTCAAATCTAATTCTTTTAGAAAGGAGCAATTCTCAAGCTGTGGTGGGATCTGCCCACTCAATCCATTTTGGGAAAGGTTCAAATACTGCAAAGATTTCAAATGCCCAATCTCTTTGGGTATTGAACCTTCTAAAAGATTTGAATCAAGACACAATTCATACAAATTAGGTAACTGAAGTAAGGTGGGAGGAATTGAACCAGTGAATTTGTTAGTACCAAGATTCAAAAAAGATAGATTGGTCATAATTCCTATTTTAGAAGGAATGGAACCATGTAAATGATTTGAACCAAGATTCAAATGCCTCAAATTGGACAACTGAGTTAGAGATGAAGGCATACGACCTGTTATTTTGTTTTTATTAAGATACAATCCCCACAAATTTTTTAGACTCCCTAAACTTTGAGGAATAGAACCATGCAAGTTATTTACTGGAAGGGACAAAATTGACAAATTGGACAAGAGACCTAGAGATGGAGGGATTTGACCTGTTAAATTGTTTTTATAAAGATACAAATACTGCAAATTGGACAAACGACATAGAGAGGGAGGGATTTGACCTGTTAAATTGTTTTGATAAAGACACAAGTATTGCAAATTGGACAAACGAGATAGAGAGGGAGGGATTTGACCTATTAAATTGTTTTCACAAAGACCCAAATACTGCAAATTGGACAGACGAGATAGAGAAGGAGGGATTTTACCTGTTAATTTATTATCACAAAGATTCAAAACTTCCAAATTACTTAGATTTCCTAGGCTTGGTGGGATGAAGCCCTCAAAAGAATTTTTTTTAAGGACCAGGATCCTCAAATTGGACAAGAGACCCAAAGATGAAGGGATTGTACCCCCTAAATTGTTTTCAAAAAGATTCAAATCAATCAAGTTCTTAAGGTTTGACAATTCCAAAGGGATAGAGCCATTGATTTGATTATCATAAAGAAACAAGTATCTCAAATTTGTCAAGTAACCCAAAGTTGGAGGGAGTGGCCCAACAAGTCCGCACTGTTTCATGAGGAGATCAGTGAGATTTGTCAATTCTCCAAATTCTAGAGGGATGCAACCACTAAATGAATTGAAACTGAGGTCTAAAACTGTCAAACTGGTTAATTGTCCAAGAGAGGACGGTATTAGACCTACCAGCCAATTGTCAGACAGATCTAGAGAAACCAAATTCTTTAGATTCCCCATTTCTGAAGGTATGGATCCATTGATTAGATTGTTTGCAAGAGTCAAAGATACCAAATTGGTTAAATGACTGATATTGGAAGGGATTGGACCATTGAGGTGGCACTCACTCATGTCTAACGCCACAAGATTCTTCAAGTTCAATATTTCTGGAGGGATACTACTATGGAAATGATTTGAGGCCAACCCCAAGTGGGAAAGATTGGTTAGAAGGCCTATAATTGGAGCAACGGATGTAGTGAGGTTGTTCCCAGTCAAGTTCAAAGAAACAAGATTCTTCAAATTCTTGAATTTTGGGGAGATGGAGTCTATATAATTGAAAGATAAGTCAAGCATCCGTAATTGAGTGAGATTTCCAAGTGAAGAAGGCAATGTACCTGTTAGATTGTTGTTGGACAGATTAAGGTGCTTGAGTCTTGTAAGATCACCAATTTGAGGAGGGATGCTCCCATCGAGTCCTTGGTGGCTAAGATTAAGGCGAACAAGATTGGGGAAGGAAGAAAAGTTCATTTGTCCAAACTTCTCTCCCACACTAAAGGCAGGTGGACTAATCTCGGTAACGCTCCCTGCACCGTTGCATGTTATACCAGGCCAGCTACAATGGTCTGCAACGTTGTTGATGGTGGCATTCCACCACCCACTCTTCCACAGAGCTAGTGCCTCTGGTGTTGCTCCTGCCATAAGTGTGCTGCCAGTGCCAAGACAAATTGTAGAGCAGAAAAATAAGGAAGCCCATGTAAATAACTCCATGGAAATGCGAATGTAAAATGCCATGTTAAGTTTGATTTTTGAAGTTGAAGTGTTTTGCTAGGTTCAGGAGCAAAGGTAAATATTTAAGGTGCTCGGTCTCATGAGGTTCAGATGATTAAGCTGACTTCTTCTTTCTTTTTTTTTTTTGGGCCTTCTATATTAAAAGGATGCAGCCACGAGTTTTCCGAGTAGACTTAAACCACAAAGACTTGAATATATGATAGTAATTTTTTGATTGACAAATAGTTTTACTTTGTTTGGCAACAGTAGTTTTTTTAAAAATCTTGTTTGGCAAAGGTTTTTTTTTTTTTTTTTTAGTTTTGGTTATAAGTAAAATTTTAAAAACTTTGTATTTTAAATTTTAAATATGTTTAGTTTTTAAAATATTTTTATAT